GGTCATTCTATCATGTTTGGTGGACTTGTAAAAAAGCTAGAAAATTTTGGGTTCAAATACACACAGTGGTACAAAGGAAGTTTAAGATTAATGTTCAACTGAGACCAGAACTTTTCTTGTTGGGACTAATGGACAGACAATTAGAAAAGACTTATAAGCGATTGTTTTTGTACATGGTAACTGCAGTGAGATTATTATATGCACAAAGATGGAAAGACTGTGAAATATCCACAATGGAGGAATGTTTGGTGAAGATGACGGAATTTGCAGAGATGGCAAAATTGACTTGCTTGATTAGAAAAAGACAACATCTACATTTGTAAGTGACTGGAAACCCCTTATGGACTTTTTGCTGAAAATGGGAAAAAAATGAACTTGTGGTTTATGGGTTTGATGATTAGAACAGGTAGAATATAGAAAGAAAGGAGCCATGATGTCACCTTAGAGAGGGAGGATAAAAGATAAATGCATTTATAACTGCTGTAAAGAAGATTGGAAACCACTTCTTTATATCTTTTATTTTCTTGTCTTTTTTCTTTCACTTTTCTATTGACTTACTACTTTTCCTTTCCTTTCTCGTTTCTTTACAGTTGTATTGTTTTTACTTTGTAAAAAACTTCTTTAATAAAAATTAATTGAAAAAAATATAGGAACATGATTTTAACTGGAGTTATCTTAGCTCAGCAATAAGGACATAAAAAAAAATATCCACAAGGATATTTTGCAATTTGGGAAGAGAATAATGTTAGCTCAGGTGATCTGTTTATAACTGACAAACATAAGCATGAATTATTAAGTGATAATTAGATTTTAAAAAGGGAAGGGAACATATACAGAAAACATTTTGGCTATTTGAAATGGAAAACTCATTCCCTCAGATTTTATAGGCAATTAGTTTTATAAATCTTGGGACAGAAATGCAATTTGATAGGAGAATGGTGTGTGAGCATCAATCTTTTGATACTGCTCTAGCCTTTTTAAACCTGAAACAGATGATGTTTTAGTAAAACGAGGGGAGAAGTGCCCTCCCTGCCATAGAAAATGATTTAAAAAGAAATATTAGGTGTCTAAGACCCGAGGAGACACAAATCCCAGGAACACTCTAACATCCCTAAATGTGTCTGGTGACCGATAAGTTAATGGCTTAGCTAGAACAATCACATTAGCCGATTTTTTGAGTACAGAGCAATAGGTCGCATTACACTTTTAAAAAGGGGTCAGGTAGCTGTGAAAAAGAGGGAGAATGCTTACAGTGGCGAAGCTTATGCCTTAAAAAAGTGTCAGTTGGTTAAGTTTGCCATAAATCTAAAGAAAGCCATTTTTTCCCCATGCCTAACTGTAGCTTGCAGGCTTGCTCTGTAGAGGATATTTATGACAGCATTACAAACATTAGGAAGTGGCATTGTTTTGATGACTGAGGACATCATTTTGTTCCTGCGTGAGCAGTTGGGCAAGAACCACAGTATGACAGGCAAGACCATGGCTTTCTCTCCCTTTTTTTAAGCAACGTTCAGTCTCCTTTAGCGGTCTTGTCAGTTGTCCTGTTTGCCCAGATGTCAAATGGTGTTCTACCAAGATAGCAGTCTAGGAAGACAAATTGCCAACCTTTGATCGGTGGGGAGAACTGACTATCGCATGGGAGATAAATCTCAAAAATGGTTTTGCAAACTGGAGCTCATTTCAGGCTCGGTTTCTCCACCAGCAGTACATGTACCTTTGGGGATATGCGGAAGGACTTTAGGTGGGACATCACTCCCTCTCCAAAATGAGAAAGAGCAGAACAAAACTGCCAGTTTCCAGTCAAGTGAGCTGAGTCAAAGAAATTCAGCATCTCGACAAATGTTCCATCATGTCTAGGCCTGGAATATTTGCTGAGAAATTTTGACTTAGGAGCCAAAACACAATAAGCTCATTCTTGTGTGGTTTCTCTCACACCTTATTGGATTGGTTTTGGGGTAGGGAGACTGTCCCCCCAATAGCAAAGCACAGCTTCAGCCTCAGTTAGCTCTCACTTGTTATTTTACAATCACGATAGTCCTGGCGATGGTATTACTGCCATTTTTTACCCCCTTAAAACTTGCCATGGTTGATAAATATAATAAAGACCGCCTATCAGCATATATATGTTCTTCTGGGAGAAAGTGGGCTTTTTACTTCTACCCTCGTGGGATCCAGGTTGTTGGGAGAATGATTTATAAGACTTCAGATATGAAAGATTGAAAACCACAGTGTTAGAGTACGGAATCTTTCAGAGCAGTGATGTTCATCCATAATAATTTAGAATAGCTTTGAGCAACCAGGTGCTGGCTAAGAAATATGGAAGTTGGAAACGTCAACCCCACACATGGATTTGAATGCACGTGCACAAACACGGGGCCTTGTAACCTTTCAATTAAACCGCACCACCCACACCAATGTTGTGTTCCACCATTCCTCATTTCCCCTCCAAAGAGAATTGAATTTCTGAATCTGCCAAGTTGTCGAGAAGATGTTAGTGTTTTGTTCAGCTTCAAAATTAATAGCAAAGACATTTATGACAGCTGCATTTAGCAACTGGGGAATTTAAGCTGTCAAGATGTAGAGGTTTGGGAGCACTTACACTACCATGAAATAATGGTTTCCTGAACCTCAATAGTCTCTATAGAAAAAACAAATCACTAGCAATTTGAAATAAATTAAAACAGATTTCTTCTATCAACTCCTAATTAGGGTCTGCTCCTGATGTACGTGCTGCTTGATATCAGTGGATAGTTCAATGTCAGTATTTGTTTCAGTCACACCCAGTGCTAAGCCATAACATGTTGTTTGATAGTTTGCTGTTGCATACTGTGTGATTAAGATTCTAATCAGAATTCTATTACGATTCACTTAATCTGTATGAATCAGACAATTGTAGAGTAACTTATTCAAGAAATCACGGTTTCAAAATCTTGCATTGGTTTCAGGAAGATCCTTTTGGAATTGAGAACATGCCCCTGTGAGATGGGAACAGTTGACTGTAGCTGTTGGCACATATTTTTATGGATAAATGGACTTCATCAGGAATAAATGTATAGATCAGTGTTTCTCAACCTTGGCAACTTTGAGATGTCTGGGAGTCAAAGTCCAGATATCTCAAAGTTGCCAAAGTTGAGAAACACTGGTACAGATCTTTTATTGGCCTTATTCCCAAGTAGGCCAAAAGATTATTATGTCACCTGTCCTCTTTCTTGTTTTGACAAGGTAATAACACTACATACACTAAATATCTTATTGTTGCTTTACATTAAGAGCACAACACAGTTCAGTTGAGTTAACTGATGGTAAACTTCATTGCACTTGGTGCAAGGTGTGCGTATTCCTGTGTGGAAGCTCCATATACTCCATATGTCAGTTACTCAGTGGACATTACCATTCGTGGCTGAGGTCTTTTCTTCTTCTGTCTCTGATTTTAGTTTCTATGAAAGGTCTGTAAACCAAAAGGTAATGAAAATTCTGAAGGTGTATATCTGTTGCATGTCTGTCTGTAGCAGCTGAAACATTGTAGGAGGCATTTCTCACTGGGTAAAAACCAAATGGGTAAAAACAGAGGAAGGTTGCTCCCCACATGATACCCAGCATCTATCATTTTTAGAAGTAAATGGAAATAAAGCTGTTTCGCTCTGAGCAAGTCCAGGTATCTTTCTTGACAACAGCATGGAAGTGGTTTGCTACTGTGATCTCATGGGACTTCTTCCCCTACATTTGCTGTGAACCCCCGATCGGCAGGTTTTCCAAGTGCTTTTGCATCTAAGTTCTAACCAGGTCCAATTTTGCTTCTAGATCTCCCAAGTTCAGCTATACGCTGTCGCCTGCTGAGACCAATTAATGTATTTCTAGCTGAAATGGGCTGCTTTGAGTAATAAGGAGCTCCTCTTTCGTGAATTAAAAAGCTTAAAGCCCTTGTCATCTAGCAGGTGAATTAACTAGCAGAGCAGCTTGTAGAAGGGAGATGTGCTTGTTTCGGTCAGCTGATGGTCTCCTTTTCATTCTTCTTCAGTTGAACCAAAACATTCCTTTCCTTTTCCTGTTTTCCTCTTTTGGCGGTAGAGCCTATCCTGAAGAAGAATGATAAAAGAATGAATTTTGGAAACATCTTGGGCAGCATCCTGGCTACATAATGGCACTCTTCTGCTGCCTAGAGATCCTAGGAACTGAAATCAAGCCCATCCACTGAGCACCTGTTCGGGAAGGATGCCGTAGTACTTCTGTTGCCCAGTTGCGTTTCTTTTCTTGGTCATGGACTTCTTTGAGGAGCAGCTGCATCATCTCTCCATGCACAGATTTTCACTTTCATCAAGTTAGTGTTTAACCAGATTGAATCAGTTTCATTCTATTACATTGGAGGATTGCCTTATCCTGTGCATAGCATCCTGCCCGGTTCTGCGCACATTTATATTCTTTTCTGACGTATATATTTTCATATTCACCAGGGTCTGGAGCATAATTTTTCTTAAACTTTGCATTGGAAGTAGTGTTGCACTTTCTCTATCCAACAGAAGCATTTCTAAGAACAAGAACAGGCCCTGTTCATAACCTACAAGTTCAGTTTCAGCTTGGTGGGTTGTACGAACCCCACCATTGTGGTTTTGGAAATCATGATTTATGGCTCAGTATGTTGTAATGTCCTGGCCTTTTGTAGTTCATTCAATAAATCAAGCTTAAACCAAACGTAGCTTAGCACAGTGTGAGAACACAATAAAGGTGATGCTTTAAAGTCGTTGTTAGCTGGTCCAGCATGGAAGTATGTTTTTGAGTGCCCAAACATGAGCAGAAGTGGGTTAATATGGTCCTGGATTTTTCAAGAAGTATTCTGGTAGCTGCTCTGGGAAAAATGTTGCTAGATCAGTATCCTTTTTCATCTAAGGCAGTGTTTTTCAACCTTAGCAACTTTAAGATGTGTGGACTTCAACTCCCAGAATTCCCCATCCAGCATGCTTTTGGATAAAACCGATTGATCCCCATCTCTCTATTTCTAACAGGTATATATCAGGATAAAAGATGACGAGTGGAACGTTTATCGGAGGTACACGGAATTCAGGGGACTTCACCACAAGTTGCAGATGAAGTATCACCAAGTACGAAGTTTTAACTTCCCACCAAAAAAGGCTATTGGAAACAAGGTAATTGTAAAAGGAGAATTGCTTTGAGAAGAAAAATGCCTTTGGAAATTGAGATGTGTATTTGGTGGTATGTGTATTTAGTGGATCTCAGCGTTCTACTCTCAGCCATAGAAGGTTCTTGGTGACTCTGGGCCAGTCTCTCCCTCAGCCCCAGAGCCAGTGTGGTGTAGCAGCGAAGGCCCTGGAGTAGGAGTGGGGAGACCCAGGTTCAGGTCCATCCTCAGCCATGAAGCCCAGTCTACCTTACAAAATTGTTTCTCTGGGAATAAAATGAATGGAGATCTCTAGATATGCTTCCTTTTGCTCCTAAAGGAAAAGCATGGTGGTGCTGGTGCTGATAATGAATACACAGAGGCCATTGCTTCCTCCAAATGAGAGGGAGAAGGAAAAAAGGAAAATAATAAATTCCCTATCCTCCTAGATCCAGGGATTCCTGCATTTCTCTCATGCGCACCTAAGCACGTGCAATGAATATAAGATGGTCCTTTACCATTAGTCTAAATGTTGTCCATCTCCATTTTGGAATCTCCTTTGTCACTTTCAGTTCAGGCCTATTTTTTAATATGCTGCATCCTTTTAAAACTCTCTTCTACAGGTGTCCTCGTCTCATTAGTTCTTATTAGGAGATCATTTTCACAGTTTTCCTCCAAGGCTTTACCACTGAAAGATTGGTGTCTTTCTTTCTCTTTTGATTCCAAGGTCCATTAAAAAGAAAAAAGACATAATTCATATTTGCAATCCAGGGCCAAATGAAGTTTTTTTTAAGAAATCCAAATCTTTAGAAAGCTGCAAGTTACAGAGAGAAGCAGAATAAATTCCATTTTTGATACCCCTGTCTTTCTTTTTCGTGCCAAAGAAGTGAACACTGCCTCTTTTAGCTGCAACCTGGCTGCTGTCAAGATCAGCCCTGGGAGAATCTGAACATTTATATTAACTAGAAGCATTTCTAGTGAAACATTTTTCTTCCTTCTCTCATGACACTAGACAACAGAGCCATTCAAGGAAACTTACTGTGTGAAAGTGCAGCACTTGGAAGTAGGTTGCCCCAAGGCCTTTCGGGAAGAACCCCAAAGTGGGAGGATGTGGTTGGGAGTTTATCTTGTTTATGGTCTTTCCCTAAGCTTTGCGTTGGCTGCTATAGGAAACACTGTGTTGGCCTTAGAAGGGCTATGGGCCGGACCTAGCAGGGCTCTTCTGAAAGCTGTAAAGAGGAGACAGATGTGGGTGTTTGGAGGAGGCAGATGATGTCACACATGTTAAAATGTCATCACGCAAATGATGTAATTCACATCATTTGAGTGATGATGTCATGGTGCACATAATATGCTTTTTACTGGATGTCTAGGGAGATAGATGGATAGTTATTGAGAACTGTCCATTCTCAGCAATTGCCGCCTACAGCTCTCCTTTATGAATTTTACTTGGACAGTACCTTCTTTTCAAGTTGCTGTGGTCCATCAGGTATCCAATGACTTCAAATAACAGGGAGCTGCTTTTGTGGGGAAGAACGAGAAATATATCTTTATACAGAGAAGTGTGCGAACGTGTATAGAAATCATCTGAGCAGTGCTGAATAACTTCTTCAGGAATGCTTCATGAATTTTGCTCTGGGGCCCCATCAACATTGCCTGTGATTCCTTGGGGCATGGACCTTAGTAGAGATTGAACATTGGGCTTTCTCAGCATGGCAGTTGGGATGAATTTACCAGCACTGCTGTTCTGGGTCCTGCTTTTCACATTTCAAGTTGGTCTGTAGATATTTACGCATTGCACACTGTAATCAGCTGATGTCGCGGAGAGTAGAGCAGCTTGTCAGAACAATGGTCTATGTGCATCTGAATATATTCTTAGCATGCAAAAAAAGCTGTTCAGAGCTATTACATCTCTAGTCTGCTAAACCAGAGCCACCTGATCAGAATCCTTTTGCTGGTACCTTCAATTCTAGCAACTTATTCTCCTGGTCACGGGCAGCTTGGCTTTTCTTGTCATTCTCTCTTTTTTCTCTTTTTATGGAAGATGCCAGGAACTGAACCTGGAATACTTTGCTGCAAACTAGGATATCTAACTGAACTGTGACCCCTTCCCAGTTAAGGGTAACAGATGATGGAACTCTCAAAGGTCACCTTATAGAATGCCATTGGAGTAAACTCCAATCTTTTTGCAGGCAGATCTAAATCAAGCTGAGTGGCAGTTCTTGAAGAGGTTTGACTGCGTCCCCTAGTGCCCAGCTTACTAACAAGATCTTGGCAGAATCTCCCAGATGCTGACTTGGCATAGTTAAGTTGTACTTGGCTTAAGGCACTTTTTTTTTTAAGCGCCTTTGAGTCAATGTTGACTCCTGGTGACTACCTGGATAAGTCCCTGCAGTTTTCTTGGTAAGATTTTTTGGAAGTGTTTGCCATTGCCTCCTTCCTAGGCTGAGAGAGAACTGGCCCAGGGTTGCTCAGCTGGCTTTGTGCCTAAGGTGGGACTAGAACTCACAGCCTCCTGGTTCCCGGTTAACCACTACACCAAACTGGCTCTCAAAACCTGCAATTTTCTTGGTAAGGTTTTTCAGAAGTGGTTGGCCCTTGCCGCCGCCGCCTCCTGCTGCTGCTGCTGCTGCTGCTCCTTCTCCTCCTGCTCCTGCTCCTCTTCTCCTCCTCCTCCTCCTCCTCCCCAGGGCTGAGAGAGAGAGACTGGACTAAGGTCACCCAGCTGGCTTTGTACTTAAGGCAGAACTAGAACTCACGATCTCCTGGTTTCTAGCCTGGTGCCTTAAACATGACACCAACCTGGCTCTCTAAGGCACATATCACAAGTATTCTTTATTGCATATTAGGAAGAAGCTATTGAAACATTTGACTGCCCTCTCAACATAAAGGTGGAATTCCTTCTTTATCCTAACTAGTTCAATTCCAGCTTTCCTTTCTCTCACCCTTCCCCAAACCATATACATAATATTCTGTGACTACATATAACACTTCACGCATGTGATGAAATAGGCTGTAATTTGCAAAAAAGGATGGTGTGATAAATGTCTTTATCGGTAAGATGTCACAGGATGTTTTTTTACTTGGATGCTGGAAACTTATGCAATTACCCTTCTTAAAAAATAATGCAAACTTTTCAGCTTGAATGCGTCTAAGGCAGAAATCAAACAGATTGTAATTTTAAAATTGCTTTGTAATGGTATATGGGAAAGACCTTGGGAGACTGGGCCAAGAGACGCTGCCAGAGATGCTGAACAGTCAGATAAGAGACAGCATAGCCTGCAGTTAGATAGTGGGTGGGTTAAGAGGGTCAGGAGAGACCCTCCCAACTTGCAAGATTGATGTCAGCCTCACATGGTAAACCAGATAGGAATCACAACCAGATGAGCTAATTGTACTTTATCGTAAAGCTACATTGACAGAATTTTGCAAGTCTGAAAGTATAATTCTCCTGCCGTCTCCTTTACAGCCTGAGAAACTAGGGAGGGTCCTTCTGAGCCTTTTGCCCTGCCCACTATCCAGCTGCGGGCTATGCTGTCTCTTATCTGACTGTTTCCTTGGCAGCGTCTCTTTGCCCAGTCTCCCAAGTTCTTTCCCACATATCATTACAACTTTCACCGTTCCGGGATCCCACAGATGTACTGGGATGATGATTTCCAAAACCTCAGGATTCCTGGAGGACACCAGATTGGGGTGTTTAAGATACAGAATATGGATATCACATCACATACAGTTTTGTGAAGTTGTAGTTTATTGCTTCTGTTCTCCTTTGTATCCAACAAAAAATAGTAAGCAGCGACAGTTATTCAGAGCATACATCCTGAATTTTCGTATTTTAAAGAAAGTATGAATTCTCCCATTCACAGGAGGGAGAAACATTTAAGCACGTATTGGCTCAGAAAGATTCCTGGCACTTTCCTATTTGAGTGAAAGAAAGGCACCGTTTCTAAGTATAACATTTAAAGACTTGACTTCTGCTCATTGTCCTCAAGTGAGAAGATGTGCTAAGATAATTCCCTCATCCCCAAAGCATATTTGAGTGAATAGACTTTGTTCCTCAGTTTTTGCTTCCATAGTCCCACTTTGCCCTACTTAGAAATGCTCCAAATGAAATCTCAGATGCTATGGAGGAGTATGGAAATAAACTTGAAGAAGGATTAAATTGACATCAACTTAGCAATGGGAAAGAAGAGAGGGTAGAAAAGAAACTCAAGATTCCCTGCTTTAATTTTCTTTAGTGTAAGAGGAAGCAGAGGGAAACTATATCAGGCTTTCAGAACTCTGTTATTATAGCCTAAAACAGTAAAGTAATTCTTGTGATGTCTGTCTCCTGACTTGAAGGGCTGACAAATGCAGACTCTTGACTGGACAGGATCAGAACTTGAGAGTAGAAATAGATCACATACTGACATCTACTCACCTGCAAGTTCTGTTTCCTCCCTTGCGCACATGGACGAATGCCTCATTTAAGATGGTTGGAATTAGTGGATAGAAATTGTAGTATCTTTGAGTCTGAAATGCTTCCAACCTAATCAAAACATTCTGGAGACAACACAACTATCCAAACGTGATATGGAACACTTCCAATTCTCGACAGTTTTATGCACCATTGTTGCACATTTCTAATTTTTAAGCTCTCTTTTAGAAAGAAAGCATAGCATCGGCTTTAAGCTTCTAAAATTAATCATGGGAGTTAAGCAGTTCTACTAAAAATATTGCTTAGAGATGATCTCACCAAAGTGGTTTCCAAAGAACATGCTGTGGCCTTTTTTAAAAGATGTCATTCTG